TAGGGACGGCTCAATCACCAACCGCCCCTATAAATTGATTTGTAGGGGCGGCCTGGGAACCGCCCCTACAAATGCATGATTTGTAGAGACGGTTCGGTAGGGGCGGCTGGCCAAACCGCCCCTACAAAGGGTTACCAGCCGCCCCTAAAAATGCTTTTTGTAGTAGTGTTTGATCAAAAACCCTTATTTTTTAAACAAATTTGGCCATGCACTTTGGTGGATGGCATCTCGTCGTCTACATTAATCTGACTGCTTTATTTTCCGAAGAGTTCGTATTCTGATTGACGCCGATGCATATATATGTCCGTGAAAATCAACTTGGCACAGTAATAATTCATCACATTCCCACAACCTGAAAGTGTGCAACTTTTACACGCCTCTGAACTAGCCAAACCGTCGGTTAATTTCTTAATTGTACCGGGCAGCAACTGGGTTCTTCTTTGTGGTGCAGCTGTTAGCCACTTCGAGTTAAAAACAAAATCTCACAAGAGCTGGGCCTGGTCACACGACAAGCCTTGCGCGGCACTTCATCGCCAGGAGGACATCAGCTAGCAATACAACTAGAATTTCGTTTACGTTCATACCGGTTAATTCGTCATAGCGTACGTATTGCGTTTCATTTTTTTTTTTGGATAATACGTATTGCGTTTCATGATCGACGGAGTTACATACTTTAGCTGCATGCGCTGTAACACTGACATCATCTATGAAGACTAACACAAGTCAATCCAACGTCACAACTGATGGGGTATTCTTTTTTTCGTGTAATCTCATTACAATACTAGAAAATATTTTGCAAGGCGGTGAACTTTGATTTTCTGAGGCAGGCAAGCTGGGCGGCCGCCTCCGTTAATCGGTGGCCCGACCGAGTGCCCGACTCGATTAAAGATTAACGGAGGCGGACCGTTTTAGACAACCGCCTCCGTTAATCATCTATTGAAGGCAACCACCTCTGTTAAGCTATTTACTGAGGCGGTAAAAAATGTCTTCCTCCCAAAAATAGATTTACAGAGGCGGTCAAATGTGTCCATCTTGGTAAATCATTTAAGGAGGTGCACATTTATAAGGTGTCCGCCTCCAAAAATCAAACCGGCTCAGCGCTTGGTCCCGGGCCCACCTACCCCCTGCGTCTTCTGCCGCGCGCCTAGAGCCCAACGCCCGCGCCCCTCATTTCCTGTCCGCGGTTTGATAAAACCGCTGGCTCCGCCTCTTGTTTCATGAAACCACCAACACGTGGTGCAAGATCAGTGGCCACACCCCTCGTTGTCACACACCGGGCCACATAGATCACAGCCACACCGACTGCACCATGGGAACCACGTCGTCCGTTCTATGTGAGCGCACGTGCGGATCGTTGGCATGGACCTATGGACGGCCCAATCTGAGGCCACGTGGAGTCGTCTCCACCGTCGATGCATTTGACGCGGGCCCTACATGACGCTAGCGCTAGCTCCCTCCCTCTCTCTCTCTCCGTTCCTATCCACCCAACTAGAGAAATATCTCCCCCATCTCTATCTCTCTCCTCTCTCTCGTGTCTCCCTTAGCGCCCAAGCGGGCCCCTTCTCCCTCAGCCCCGGCTCCCTCCACCTCCACCGTGCTCCCTCTAGCTCCACCTCCACCTCTGGCCAGCCCCATCCACCTCTGGTGCCGCCCTCCACCTCCACCTCCTGCCGGCCCCTCCACCTCCACCCCCACCTCTGGCAGCGCGCTCCACCTCCACCTCCGTCCGGCCCCCTCCACCTTCATCGCGCTCCCTCCACCTCCACCTTCGGCGGCGCCCTCCACCTCCGGCGGCGCAGCGTGCGGGACCCGACTAGATCCAAGGAGACAACGAGCGGGGTCCCAGTGGTGCTTCTCCTCAGTGCAAGCAGATCCAGCAGCGGTCGTCTCTTCCGTCAACGACACGGCGGCACCAGTGGACGCCTCTTTCGGCAACGGCACAGCGAGCGGCGAGTCTCAAATCCGGCTGCCGTGGCTCGGATCCGGCGAGGAGCGCCTAGATCTGGCGAGCGACGGCGGCGGCACGTCGATGGGCTCGACGGGCCTCGTGGATGGGATCGCTGGGCTCGTCGATGGTTTTTTTTATCCTAATAACGCAGGTGGGCATTTTGACCGTCTCCGTTAATAGACATTAACGGAGACGGGCTTACTAGGGTGTCCACCTCCGTTGACGGACAATTAAAGCAACCATCTCCGTAGATCTGCATTAACGCAGACCTTTGGATGGAGGCGGTTGTGTTGCTCGCCTCCGTTAAGCGAAAAGGCCCGCCTCTAAATAAAAATTTCCGTAGTAGTGTTACTACACAGCTGACAAATCGTTAGCAATAATATACGAACATTTTTCAAGAATTTACTCCTCTCCCTAGATACACATATGACCCAGCCAGCCAACTCATGAGAACGCATATGACCCAGCCAGCCAACTAACGGTGTATTCTATAGTACCATACACCAAGTCGTGTACGTAGCCTGTAGTCTTTTAACCAATCAAACATACTTGCAGAAACCGCTGGGGTTCCTCATCATCGATCCCCTGGCCGAGGACCCGGCGCTCTCCTCGACCTATACGGCGTGCCGTGACGGCGACGGGGCAGAAGAAACGCGCGCCGATTCGTCCCCGGTGCGACTCCCCGGAGACCAAATCAGCCTGAAAAACGCCTACTTCATCGAACAGTTGAACTGATCGATGGTCCGACCCTGTCCAAAGTTTCCACTTGATGGCCATACAAGTATCCCATCAGTAGGCAATTGCAATTAGCTGATATATGGGATCATGGGAAAAAAGTCGTTTACGCATCAAATCACACTGGCGACCAAGCCGTCCCCTGTTTCAGAGCGATAGAGTGCATGCATCAATGCATGTGTGTACCAATTGCCAAAGCAGGATAACGATTGAGTTCTATGCATGACATCTTCCTCTCTGAATCCAACGGGAAAACAAAAAGGTTGTTATGACATCGTCGTCTTGTGAACTGGTCTCCCCAAAGGAGAAAGGAGCGAAATCTGACTCCCGTTTTCCTTCCGATCCGATCGAGCGACCTTTTATTTTCCAGCAGAACGTTGGAGCAAGCACTACGGGAGTACATACAGACTCTGTAAAAAGTTACAGCTCGTTCCAACTGCTCCACCACTAATCTGGATGATTATTGTCAGCGATAGAATTGGCCTTTAGTTAGTCCACCGGATAAATAACAACGTGAGGAAACGGTCTAAAGTTCTTGCTATCTGACAGTGTGAGCATAATCATAGAAATAACGACCTGATCTTTAGCCCCTGTAGTCAAAAAATAAATCAATCAATTTTTTTCCAAGTGTTTTGAGGTGCCATCAACATCTATCTAGCTAGTTAATGTTCACCACTGAATTAACTTAGAAATTAACTGACCAAGTGATTCCTCGGCACCTTCAAGACTTCGTAGAGCTGGAAACTGAAGCTTTTAACTTTTGAACTGAAGCTTGCAATTTGAAACACAATTTCCTGTGTGATGTTTGCAAATTTCAACTCAGCGGAGTAGGAAACTGATCCACAAGCTACGTAGTAAGCTTCACAGCAACGGAACCATACTAGTGTTTCAGGCTTTGCAGTTTCCAACCAAATGCCATTCCTGGACTCGTTGATTTTTTTTAAAAAAATCAACACCAAGTTCTTAATCTAGTAGACTCTAGTCGTCAGTGACAATGATCTATTTTTTCCTTAAAAACTTGCCAATATGCCTATTTGAAAGATAGTTTAAAGGTAACTACCTAAATTTATATCTGCATTATCCTAATTATGAGAAGTTATAAAAAGTAATCACTAAATGTTTATTTAAAGTATCTATATAATAAGCCATCCTAAAAAATAATTTGAAGTAATTCTCTAAATTTGCCTCTAAGTTACCATTGTGAAAGATAGCCCAACTAAACACCTTCCAATTTGATAATGATTACATAATACTACTACCCTGTCTCAGAAAGAATATCATTCTAGCTTTATTCAAGTCGAACCATTTTAAATTTAACAAAAATTATATACAAAATATCGATATGATACTAAATATTAGTACATTCAGTTTTGGTCTCATAAATACTGATATTTTTCTCTATGAACTTAGTAAAATAAAGGATACTTTGCTTTTTTATCAAACTACAATGATATTCTTTGCAGGGCAAAGCTAGGATACGACAATTATGCTAAAAATATGGACAAACGAGAGAATATAGTAACGATTATCTGGGCTCTAAATCTATCCGTGAATGTTTAATCTTATACCTCTTATTAAAAACTATTAAACCCCATAGATCGTAGAACACGCGTTGAGGCCAAACAATAAAGTACGCGTGATATAGTCACAGAGAGAACCAAAGTTTTGGGAGATGGCATATGGAATGGACATGTCATGTTCACATCATTGGGCGTCACAACCAACGGAGCTTTTTGTTATGATGAAAATCATATGATATGGTATCTCGTATCACAGGAAACACATGCTCACATCCGTTCCCGTTCCCATATACTTTAAGCCGACACTGGACTGCAGAGGGTACGAAAGTACAACAGCACAACGTACAAAAGAAACCCAGGAATAAGAAACGACGACAGAAGCAATCACGTACGCGATCCAAGCAAACTGATAAAAAAAATGAACGAATTCAAAGCGTAGCCTTTAAACTATTCCCATCCCCTGTTCCTTGTGTCACGCTCGGGCCGAAAAACCTCCCCTTCTGGGAAGCTCCCTGCTTTGACCACGTTTGGTTTTGCCCTTTTCTATCCCGAGAGCGGGCCCCGTCCGCTCTCGTCGCGGCACCGCGCCTCACCGGGGGCCATATAAATAGCCCAGCCCGCCCCCTCCCAGTCCACACAGCAGCAGCAACCTCCCGCACGCCGCCGAGGTAGCCACAGCCCGAGCTCACACAGCAAGCTCCCCAGCTCGGTCTTCTCGCCAGGACCCGGCAAGCAAGGCCGCGCGCTCTCGGCGTGCGCGAACGGACGGACGTTAATCGTCGGCAGATCGAGACGACATGGGGCGCGCGCCGTGCTGCGAGAAGATGGGGCTGAAGAGGGGTCCGTGGACGCCCGAGGAGGACAGGGTCCTGGTGGCGCACATCGAGCGCCACGGCCACAGCAACTGGCGCGCGCTGCCCAAGCAGGCGGGCCTGCTCCGCTGCGGCAAGAGCTGCCGCCTCCGCTGGATCAACTACCTGCGCCCGGACATCAAGCGCGGCAACTTCAGCCGGGAAGAGGAGGACGTCATCATCCAGCTCCACCAAATGCTCGGCAACAGGTGCTTATCTATCTTGATGCCCCAATCAGCCACTTGTTGTCTCGTGAATTACGGCGAGAAATCAAAGAGCATGCGCACTAAACAGCTCATTTGTGTGTGATTTTCAGATGGTCGGCAATTGCTGCCAGGCTGCCGGGGAGGACGGACAACGAGATCAAGAACGTCTGGCACACTCACCTCAAGAAGCACCTGGAGCCTACTAAGCCAGCCAGGCAGGCGCCCAAGCGCAAGCCCAAGCAGCAGCAGCAGCAGCCGGAGGCCGTGCCGACGACGCTCGAGGGCCCGACGACCGGCGCCGTAGTGCCGGTGTCGCCGGAGCAGTCACTGTCCACGTCGACCACCAGCACCACCACTGACTACTCGGCGGCGGCCTCGTCGATGGAGAACGCGGACACCTTCACCTCGGAGGAGGAGGAGGACTACCAGATTGACGACAGCTTCTGGTCCGAGACGCTGGCGATGACGGTGGACAGCTCCGACGACTCCGGGATGCAGACAGAGGGCAGCACCTTCGGCGCGTCGTCGGCGGCGCCGTCGACCAACGAGGACGACATGGACTTCTGGCTCAAGCTGTTCATGCAGGCCAGCGACATGCAGAATTTGCCCCAGATTTAGGCAGGAAATGAACCTCGCCTAGGTGGTGGTTTCCTCTCGATCGACCGGCTGATGATATTCTTGGCCTCACAATTCTTTCAATCTTTGTTCTGCTCCGTTTCGGTGGATGGATGTACATCTGACTGAAAACTTGTGCAGCTGAAAATAATTATGCTTCATCATGGCGGTGTTCACTACCGGAAACAGTATATATGCCGAGTGTTTGGTGGTTTGCCGAGTGCATTCTTTCGGGCACTCGGCAAATAATATTTTTATCGAGTGCCTACAGATAAACACTCGACAAAATAATTGCACTTGACAAAAAGCTTATTTGCCAAGTGCAGGAAATAAAACACTCAGCAAACAACAACAAAATACTCGGTAAAGAATAGGCACTCGGTAAAAGACCGCCACGTGTGACGGCCGTCAACTAGGGTGCCGGCGGTTAGAACTTTGCCGATCCCTCTTTCCTCCCTCTGTCCCTCGTCCATTTTTGCTGTCGAGACTAGGGTATATGTAGCAGCCGTCTCTGAGTCTCCATTCTCCAAGTAGCCGTGCCTCGAGCATGGCCGACATGCGCCATGCGGAGGCGGCCCTGCGCGTCTCCTCAGAGCCGACGGCCGCAGCCAGAGCAAGTTGAGGAACTCTCCAACCGCTGTTTCTCTACCTCTTAGACTCATGGCCCACAGGTCACGGCCTCATGTAATAAAAAAAAGCTTGTCTTAAAAGACAATTATAACAATTGATGAATGTTTCACAATAAAATAAAATAAAATAAAATGTTTACTGGCTTTGAATGTCTGCGAAACCTCATGATAATAAAATCTCATTTGTGGAGCTCTAGCCAGTTCTGGCTCTATATAATGTGCTCTGGCTCTATATAATGTAAGAATATATTATGGTTTCTGTGGCTGTCGGCTGATAAGCTGGCTAAAGCTAATTTGTTGTGAGAGAAAAACACTGTACTATGGTGTGGCAGAACCGCCCGAAATAACGAACTTACGGAGGCGTTCATCTTCCACCAGACACTAAGCACCCCGAAAGCGAGCTACATCGGGCGGGTTCCGTCGGGCACACCCCACGGGAGAGCCCGAAAAGTCCACATTTTTCCTAAGAATCCAATAATGAGAACAAGTTACAATACTTAATCCATTTAATGCATCCAGAGTTCTTAGAAAGTCATTATTATATTGCCAAATTTAGAGTGCGGAATATTTAACAGCGGAATGATAATAAACATCTATCGATAATGAATAAGGACCGTCTGTGCCCACCAGAAGAATCCTTCACACAACGGGTACTCCTCAAGTGGAACCTGCAACAGAGATAAATAAATCCTGAGTACACAATGCACTCGCAAGACTTATCCGACTAGTGGGAATAATTTCCCGATTCCAAGAAATATGCAAAACTTTATGGTTTGCTAGTTTTCTTTTTGCAGAAAGCAACACTAATAGTGAGTCTTTATTTATGTTATTATTAGCGGCCATGATTAATTCATTATCTAGCTATTCTATGTGAGCACATATTCTATTTTCAAGCAAGAGTTGAGCAATCAGTTCTTATTCATCACCTTTCATCTTTCAGTTCTTACTACAGTGCTTGACTGTAGACAAGCCGTATCGGATCGCCCGGCGATTCACGAATCAATGCCCTCAGCTGGGTACCTCAAAAACACATGCCTCGCTTGTACCCCAGGCATAAGCAGGACCAACCCATCACTCTCCTGTCCCAGGGTCCGAGTCCCCATCCAAACTGAGACTCCAAGCCACCGCCCCTGAGTCTCAGACTCAGTGCGGTGCAAGGACCTCCTAACCCCAAAACCATCAAAACAGTCGGTCCGAAAAGAGCCGGATCCACAATAAAAGAGCAACAAGTCTTCCAAGCGCCCATACCCAAGTATGTGCTCGCACTACTACATAATGCTTAACTGCAGCGAGCAATTTTGGTTTCCCGCGGCGGGCAAACGCGTCCGGCGCGGTGAGAAGGTCACGGTAAATCGTGAATCCACCGCGGCGGGCGCCAGTGCTCGCTGCAGTAAACCTATTAGCAGTGGCGGGCACTTTAGAACGTCCGCCACGGTAAAGCTGAGGAAAAAAACAAAAAAACCCAAAGCCCACCGGCGAGCCCATATCCCGAGCCCGCCAGCGAGTCCAATCCCAGCCCGCAACCCTAGTGCCGCCGGGATCTTCGCATCGTCGCCGTCGTCGTCCCTGGATCCGATTGCCTCCACCTCTTCACGCCGGATCCAGTCAGCCCCGCTGCTGCCGAAGATGGGCAAGACCGGCCTCTACCTCCTAGATCCACCTCCCTGTATGGAAAGAGAGAGGAAGGAAAGAGGGAGTGAGGGAGAGGAGCTAGGAGAGATGGAGAAAGAGAGTGAGGTAGAGGATACGGTGGTGCCATTACCTCGATCTTGCCCGCGCCGCCAGATCCACCGTCGCCGGAGGTGGAGGCGGCCCACTGTCGCTGGATCTGGGCCGTGGATCCGCTTCGACACCGGAGAAGAAGGGGAAGGAGGCAGCCAGCCCGCGCGCACCGCGCCGCCTCCGCCCGCTCGCCGCCGTGGCTCCACGCGACCTGCACCGCCGCCCCGCGCGCCACCATCGCCTACGCGACCCGCGCGCCGCTGTGGCCCCACACGACGCTGTGGCCCCGCGCGACACGTCGTGGCCCCGCGAACCGCCGTGGGCGCCTCCGTGCGTGCCACCAGAGACGGGCGCCACCGCGCCCTGCCGACGGAAGGAGAGGAAGGACGACGGGGAGGGAGGGGTGCGACGGAAGGAGAGGGAGGGAGGTGCGCGCGAGGACGACGGAGAGGGTGCGACGGAAGGAGAGGGAAGGAGGTGCGGACTTGTTCGGTCTTTGGTGGGAGGGAGTGGCTGAGGCAGAAAGGGAGACCGGGAGTGAAAAAATGCTCGCCACGATAAATAAAAAATGCCCGCCACGGTAAATCGTGGGATTTACCGCAGCGGGTAAAAATAGGAGCTCGCCACGGAGTGCAAAACTGGAACGCTGCGCAAAATCGTTTTTGTACTAGTGTCGGGATAATAAGTCTGTGACTTGCCTTGAGTCTTATGCAACGACCGGTCCTTAACCGACACGAATAGGGAAAGCAGTGTAACCAAGCTATGCCCCGTGTCCACGGCGACACAACCTCTTACACCTACCAATACCCAAACCATGTCCCTGCCCAGTCACCATTTTTCCTTTCCACCATTTTTATATATTCCAAGTGATAATAATGCAATAATATATTTTCTATCTCTCACGAGTGACAGCCATCACTCGACTTCTACCGGAGTCATATAGCATAGCAATCTACATGATCCTGTCATACTAGTAAGACTCATCGGATAAAGATATATATATATATATATATATATATATATATATATACAAGTGGGTTTCATTCAACTCCTTAAAACTTAATGCACAATAATTTATACTGCAGAAAAGTAGGGGTTATGCACCGAGGCTTGCCTGGGTAAGATATATATTAAAAAGTTAGTATCTGCATCTTCAGATCATCCACCATCAACTGAATAGAAAGCCCATTGCATCATCTCCTGAAAAGAATACCATTACACCATCTTCGGATTCTCAATCATCCTTCACTTGATCCGTTGATCTATCATCGTACCTATATGATATGCAATGCGATGCAATGCAAAGACGTAATTAATCGACGACAATTGTGACTCGTAAAATACGATTTACGCTCTCAAGTTAACGGGCTAGTTCTAACGACGACCGTACCTTGACTACATATACACGTTGTCGGATAAAGTGTTATTTCCCAACAATTATTTTAGTCATATAAACCAAGATTGTTTCTTTATTCTATTCTATCAATTTAATCTTTATTCGCAATAGGACATCATTATCTATTTAGTAAACTAATTATTCCAGAGCTACAAAAATTACAGTGAATACCTAATATTGCTAGGAGCCTACTGTAAAAAATTTAGATCCAACACTATTACCAATTTATCACAACAATTCCTACAAGTTTATATTTTTATAATATTAAGCATCTTAAATTAATTATATAGCTTCCAAAAATATTATCAAACTATGTGAACAAAATATACTAATAGGTAGATCATGATTTTAGGAGACTAACAAAATTGGTTTCACAATTTTTGGATCCCTATAACATCTTATATTGATTTTACAAATCTGCTTCAGCATTCAATTAGGAAATACCTCAAAAATGAAAGAGGGCCGGCTGCCACAAACTGGGCCAGCAGTCGTGCGCGCGGCCTGCTAACCCGGCATGGCCCAGCGGCGTGGTAAGGGCGCGGAGGCCCAAGGTGGGCGCGCAGCCAGTGGCCCGGCAACGCCGATAACCGCACGGGTGGCCTACTAGGCCGCGCGGTAACCGCCCGGCCCAAGCATGGCGG